CCTGCAAGGTTTTCCCAAACCAGAGTGGGCAGTGTTACTGTATTTTAGGTTTAAGGTCCATTTAGTAGTAGCAGAAATTCTAACACACTGTTTTTTTTTTAAAAGTTATTTTTTTGGCCTTTGTGCCTTTATTGGATTGTGTTAGTGAGAGAGAGAAAGGAAAGTAGGGGAGAAGAATGGGAGGAGGACATGTGGGAAAGGGTCATGAGCGGGATTCGAACCCATGACCTCCACATTGGGACTGTAGCCCTACACATGGGACGCCAACTCAACCAGGTGAAATTCTAACACGCTGTTTTTAGAGAAATACATTTGTATGTGGGTAGAGTTAGCACCTTAATCGTACCACATTAGTTCTGGTGTTCTCCAGTTTTGCTGCAGCTGATTTGACTTGGGAGTTCTCAGACTCTTGAATACCAGCTATAATTATGGGTGCACATATGTACATTACACAGTCACGCTGATCACAGAATGCACTGCAGCTACAAAACCAAAAAAATTCCAGATAGCATTTAAGGGTTGGTTTCTAAAAGCTAAAATACGATCGGCCTGCCAGCGCTGTGTTTAAAGCAGATCCAGATGCAGATGCCTGAACGTTATCCATCATTAACGTTGCACATTTGGAGGACTGTGTGGCCCTGGCTGAGGTTTGTGTTTCTGTCTCCCTCCTCTGTTTCGCTGCCTCTCTATCTGCATGAAGGTAACGGTCAGGGTGAGGGTTTTTCCACTGTCCACTCGGAGCCTGTAAACTTCCACTGCAGAGATGAGGGCGGTGGGGGTTGGGGAATCCTCGCTCACGTTCTCTCTGACAACAAAAAACAGCAGTGTCTGCTGGAGGGACATCCACTGCCAGAACACAACTAAAGCCGTGATGCCGCCTGACGGTGAGCGAACAAATGAGACGGGGAGTGCATGAAAGAACAGATGCAGAGAAATGTCCCAATATCATGTTAGTTAAGTACGTATAAGTGTGTGTGTGCCGTGTCATGATGTGTGTTTCTACAATATGCAGTCACTGCTGCATCATTCTCTGTCAGCAGTTCCCTCTGACTAGATAGTAACAGAGCTGCTGCCCCCTGGTGGAAGCCTCCTGTAACTACAACCACTTCAGTAATAATTCATAAATAAGCAGCTGCTTGTCTTTACGTTAAACCAAGTGTCTGAGTGACTGTTTGCGTGTGTGTTGTGTTGAAAGCTGAAACGGGGCAGGAAACTTCCTCTGGCCAGCAGCCATTTTTGTTCCTCTGAAGTCAGATAAGGGCTAAGCTAAAATTAGCCAATGGCCATATATGGAGAGCGAAGGAAAAGGATATGTGTGAATAAGTGTGACTGAGACGATAAGTTTTGGTGACTGGAAATCACACACAGGCTGAACTCTGACCTTATATTGCGAGAAAGCTCGGACACAAAAAGTACGACAGGCCGTCCTGTTAAAATCGTAGCGTGTGTGTGCATGTGTGTGTTTGTGTAATTCAGAGGTGTGGACTTTTACGGCCTCAGCCAGCGTACAGGGGATTTGAAATGACGACACAAGAAGAGTTCTAAACTGAACAGTGTGTTCTTTTTTAACCAAACTGCCAGGAAAAAAACAGCTGCGTCCAGAAAATGACAAAAAAAAGACTGACTCTGCAGCAAACACAAAACACCGTCTGTAAGCAGAATGACACACAGTGGCAGCAACGCTCGAAATTTACAAGGGTGGTGTGTGTTTGCTTGTGCCTGAAGAACGTGTTTGTGTTCGCTGACGTAAATCAAATTATATCGCTGCTTAAGTGAGGCTCTATTTAATGATGCTGAGAGATGAAGTAGCAGGAGAAATAAGCCCCTGCTGTGATATTTTACAAAGAAGAAAGATTTTCTGCTTTCCAAACCTAATTGCTGTACCTGTCATTGGGGAACCCTAGCAAAAAAAAAAACCCATAATGGACTTTTTATGACACAACAGAGACACTGTGTGTTAATGCATGTTGTACTCACAGGGAAAAGCACGATGGGGACAGTCAGAGTGACGGCAGTGAGGACAGCCAGACGCACCAACAGCAGCATGGTGTCGAACTTGTACACTTTGGTGAAGGTGTGGAGCAGCTCGGCCTCCACATTATCTGTGTTGGAGAAGAAACAGAGGAACAGTTTGAGAGCAATACTCTGACAGAAGATATGGAAAAGATGAATCCTGGCACAGACAAGTCCAGAAAAACAAAGCAGATTCTGCTACATTTGATTAGAGCCGACTCTCAACCCTTGCATGTCCCGTTGCTCTTACCATAAAATGTGAGGTAGCCAAACAGTGCCGACAGCATGTACATGATGAGCATAGCCAGGATGGACAGGTTGGAGACGTTCTGCATCTTTTTCCTGCTGCGACTGCAGACACAACACACACATTCATGTTCAGACGTCACATCAATTTAAAACGTTTAGATTTAATGACCTAATTAGAGGTGCTGCCCAAACCTAAAAAGCCACCATGGAAACGACAGAAAATACTTTCACTATTTGACATTCGGGTACTTAAACATCACTTATAGAACCAGGTGGGTTTACTGCCTGAAGAGTATACACTCTGTGTTTTCTATGTGGTTCATGTGAGACTGAAGACAAAGTCAGTTTGATGTTTTACTGCTCATCATCATGCCTCTCTACTGGGACCATGGACTGGACTTGGAGATATTTTTCAGGTGGAAATTTTTTTCTTTTAAATAGCCTGGGGGTTGAGGGGTTAAACGATTAAATAAAAATACCTTTAATCTCTGATGAGCTCTTCTGGAGGAATGAGTCAACCTCAGAGGGCAGGAGGCAAAGTTCTTTGTTCACACTGTGATATTAAGTCTCCCTACTGTCACTGATTGAAATATAAAAACTCATCTCTGCATATCAAAGTTTCTTATTTATCTATAAATTCCCTGCATCTCTGTCCATCCACTCCTCTCCACTCACTGCAGCTGAGCACACCAGCTCCCCTGTGATTCTGCTCAAACACTGTGAAACTACTCTAAACTTCACACTGCCAAGTTGTAATATTCAGTCATTCACACATTCAGCCATACATGTCTGAACTGGAAACCCATTCTCAAGGAAATGATCAGGAAAGCCCCACCCTGCAGGCTGACGGGACTGGTCCCTTAGGTTACTGGTTTGTTGGAAGTCTTGATCTGTGATTTTAAATCTGTCATCAGCATACTACAGTTTGAAGGTGGAAATGATCAGCCTTGGTGGTGACTGCCTATTTTGCTCATGACATTCAAGCATATGGAAAACACCATATGGACGTGTGAACAAGATATAAACCAGAAGGGCTTTAAGAAGTTCTGTTCTGACAAATTAACTTGTGACAGCTGTATTTTGGTGTATTCTAAGTTAATGTGGGCTGGGCAGTTGTATATATATAACACACTAAGGTACAGATCTTTGCTTTTATTATAGTACATATGGACCTGTCACTCATTAAACGTGGTTATGCTATTAGGTAACATAAACACCAGTGATGGACTGTGCATTGAAAATACTACGGTCCGTAAAAACCCTTCAAAGTAAAGTATGTTGATGGGGGGTGAAAATGTTGAGAATGGCCGAACTGACTCTAAAGGTTTGTTTAGGAGGTGATGATGGTGCTTCACGGTCTGAAGCAAAGGGAAGAAGTGCACTTACTCTTTGAGCTCGCTGTAGATCGGCAGCACCTCAGGATGGCAGACGAAGGCAAATGCCAGGATGGGCACAGTGTACGCAGTCTGTGGGAAAAACAAGAATGGAACATTTAAGAAACACAACTTTATTATGGTAGCTATTAAACAGAAATGCCTTGTTCTTTTTGACGGTGGTGCTGCAGCTTCAAGGTGGAAACAAGAAAAAAGAAGGAGCACTTAGGAATCTTTTATTCACCACTCAAGAGTTCTGACTCACCACACGGATGGACACCAAACACTAACAGTCAAAACACCTTGTACGGCCAACGAAACGCCAAACAAACCAACGGGTGCCAACTGCAATTTTTAACCACTCTTTGTAATTCTGTTTTTACATTTATATATAAAATGTGTGAAGGTGTTAGGCACATGGATGGTTAATGTGTGATGCCTGTTCTTGTGAGACATTTTCAGATTAGGAACATCCACTGCTGCCTTGGCCTCACACAAGCACAGAACATACCGTATGAGTGTACTGGTGTCAGCTGTCATCTTCTAATTTATTCAAACAGATGAAGCTATCCTCAGTGGGTTTTTTTTTAGTTAGTACGACTTCTCCATTGAGGTTTGCTTGAAACTTCCAAAATAACAAGGAAAGTGAGATAGTGCTCTCGTTAAAGGTTAAACTGGCTACTTCCCCTCCAAGAAAAACACTTCAGTCAATCAAGTTTACGCACCTAACGTTGTACCCAGAGGGAGTCTAATGCTCCACGCCGTGTTCCTCTCATGATTTAAGGTCATACAGGCCCAGACATTGATCCCTAACCACGTACACAGGCCAAAACACACCCTGAAAAAAACTCCACCTTAACCAAACAAGTCTTTGCAAATACTTGGCATTCTGCTCCTGTTGGACGAGGTCTTCAGACGCATTCCCACATGTTTCCACTTTACTCATCTCTATTGTAAAGTTCACCATTTTGTGTCTATGTTCTCTTCATTCTAACATTTTTTTCCCTTTGCAACCGGATGATCTTTGACTCCTGTTTGCGAAGGTCGAAGGTTGTTCTTTGAGTCACTGTTAAAGTGTTAACCTGAGTCAAAGGGGAACATTTGCACCTGACCGACAAACACACAGTTCCTCAGTTCAAAAAATGGGTTATGTTAACATGTAACTGAGCATGCAAGTTGGACAAATTCAATCGATCAAGCATTTCTTAATCAGCCCGACACATAACCTGCAGCCTCCACCAGCCCCTTCGTACCTGTGAGTTGAAGACAAAGTATTTGGGCGTGCACATCTCCTCTTCATCAGGGTGAGGCTCGAAATGGACTCCCGTGGAGTGATGGGCGTCGTGACTGCCGATGACCGCCGGGGACACGTCGGCCCGGGAGAAATCCATCTGCGCCGAGTTGTTTCGTAGCGCGTACAGGCCCGGCATGTGCGACGCGTTGGTGCTGAGGTTGTACGAAGGGCCGTAAAAGAACGGGAGAGGGCACGGCAGCTGGGTCTTCTTGTAGATCACCTGGGAAAGACCAACATGAAGTGAGGCAATGCTCTTCTAAGCTGTGCACATGACAAATGAATGAAGTCGGATGAAAATAATACAAAAATGTTTTTATTCTGCATAATGTAATCTTCGTATCCGGTGAACTCCAGTCACAGGCTTATAAACAGGGCACTCAGTAATGCAGACTGTGGTGGTCTAATTGGAAGTTGCAAACTGTCAGGCACACATTGTCCTCTTCAGCCTGCTGTGTCTGGACTGGAAAGCATGTAGCCATCAACAAAACACATCAAAACACCCTCCAAGTCCAGCTGTGACCACTTCAATTACAATTATTTTAATGATGAATAAAAATCTTTGGATGACACAGAATCTTCTCCTCATATCAAGCAGTTGTTTTGGGAACAATTTGTTCTTCTGGCTCATGTTCAGTACGGGTATTTGCCATGCAAACAGTCTGCAAAGTCCAAAATTTTGGCTGCACACTGTACAGACATGTATTCCTGCAAACACTGAAAGCATGTATTGACCTTCAAGCTGCAGACTATATCACCAAAATGATTGGCTAATATGCCCCAAAGAGCTGTGACGGTTGGGGAGCTGAGTGGTCATTCTCAGGTTTATCACTAAAATTGATATTTAAATGTGACATGTTTGTATAAAAGTAAAAATATTCGCAGTTTGAATATATCCTTATACAATCCTAGTAGCATGTGTTCAGGCTGTGTAAGCTGAACTTACCACACCCAGGAAGAACACCATGCAGGAAAGGGAAAATCCACTGGTGTAGCCGAGGTATCCTGCACAGGAAAAAACACCAGTGAGTTAAAAAACAATTTTCCTTTCTTACGTTGCACTCTGGCTCTTAATTCATTTTCATCGTGACCCACGTCTCAGAATAAACCAACAAAAATCAATCTGAGCAGAACCGAGCTGCAGTTTAAATGAGGCCTTTATGCTTTGACAGAACCCAACACACACAAATACAAATGTAATGCCAGCGGGTGCCATCGGTGTCATTTATTAAACTCAGCTCTGACATGCAGCTTTGAACCTATTTGCTGCTTTACGTCCAACTGTCTAAATTACATCATCTTGGTCGGCCGGGCTTTTTGGAGCTGAGCCAGCTGGGTCTGCCTCCTGTGTTCATAAATTACCTGTGAGCGGTGCAGCCGACTACAGGCTTATTAGCAGTGTTATGTTACCGTAACTTCTAATTGCCTGAGCTGACTAAGGAGTTAGATTAGTGTTGCGTTACTTCTGGTTGGGCAGAGCTGATTACAGATGGCTGCAAGAACATGGAAGCACTGAGGAATTTGGCTTCAGGCAGCTGGAAGTGAACACTAGAAACTTTGTGGAAGTGCCTGATAGTGATATTAGAAGTAAGTAGGCTAAAGGTCACAGAACATGTGGTGAAACATCTGAACAACATACAATCTGATAGTAGAATATATTTTAGGTTTCACTTGTGTCCTTACCCAGATTTTTGAGGAGGGACAGGGGCAGAATGATCCCGATGGACACAAACACCACCAGGTAGTTTCCGTTCATGTACCACTCACTGCAAGCACGGCGCAGGATTAAAATCACAAGAGATGGAACAGAAAAACAAAAGTTCACTTCATCCTGATGAGCTCACACACTCACCCAGAGATTTCTTCTAAGCCCAAGAAGGTTCGGATCACTTCTGGCAGCTCGTACTTCACAATGAAGAGGTAGCTGGACATGGCTGCAGGGCCGCAACAGGGACAATAAAAAAAGAGATTCACTATTACAGGCACACACTGTTATGTTGATGAAAACCACCGTGTCCAACAGATGAAAGGAAAAACTATGCAAACCACACAGTTTATAATGCTGCTGTATTCCGATTGACTGACTGATTTGGGGTTTACCTCCGATGTTTTGCATGATAATCGATCCAAACGCAGCCATCTTCCCAGGCCAACCAAATGCTCTCTCTCCCAGCTTCTCATAGATGAGGGATCCTGCCAGAACAGAAGAGTTGATGGAGAATTACCCAGAGAACAATCAGACAAAACATAAAGACGAGTGGTGAACAATCAGGTTCTTCTATCCTAAACTTGCTGAACCTACTCCTCCAGCTGCTTTTCCTACCATCTCTGAAAGACGGGTGGGGACATTATTATACAATAACTTTATTACAATTACACAAATATAATCTGTATTTCTAAAAATCACCAAAGTAAAAGAATGACTGGGATCACAAGCCCCAGGTTGAGAACCACTGTTTTCCTAACTGGTCATTAAGGGGCCAGTGAAGCTTGCTGCACCCAAAGTGAACTTAAATACCAACCTCCTTCTTTAGCTGTCATGAGCAGCAGATGTACAGAGTATAAGGACAGGATGGCCACAGCGACGAGGAGGATTCTGCACAGAGAGACGAGTAAACATGTTATGTGTAGTGGACGTGGTCATCTGTGTCACTTTGATGTAGCTGCACTGACACAATCCTGGCAGGACCTTTTCTTCCTTCCTCTTTTAAAACGGGAACATCAAAGAAGGTGCGACATTCTGCAGCTGCTCAGAAATGTGTGTCGTTGAGTTGCTTGTGTGTTTTGGGGGCTTGACTCAGAGGACGCTGTGTGCTTTCAACACGACTGCAGCATGGCTCTGACATGACCAGCGCACCGTCACGTCAGTGCTACGTCAATACTTCCATTTACTGCATTCTTCAGATACCCTGTGGATACGCAATGCTGGACAGACTGGGACGGAGCTTAACTTTTACAGCTTCCAGGAGTCATTTAACCTCCAGGTTTGTCCCGCTGGGGGCTTTATGCACAAGCAACATTTAAACTCTTGTTTCCCTGTAACACCACCAAGCCATGAGGTGGCCACGCAGCAGGGGCATGGATTGTGACCAGAGAGGGGGGCTGCATGGGGGCATTAAGCGAGTCTTGGGTGACAGCGGGCTGTTGGATGGTGGAAGCCATCCATGAATGCTGATAATGCTGATGCATGGGACAGGCAGCTGGTTAGGAGATGGCAGAGGGACGGAGGGTCAGGAGTTCAGACAGAGCTGCTCTCTGCTCCAGGTGGTAACGTGATCCCAATTTAGATTCATGTACACAAGAGCCATCGAGTGAAAAGTTATTCTGTCCAATGCTTTGGTTTATGAGCAGCTACCTGCAAAAGTAGAGGTGCTCCCTTAAGCTGCTGTACGGCTGTAGCTTGTGGTTAGTGCTAAATGTCACATGCTATCAAATGCTAACATGCTAAATATCATTAGCATTGCTATTGTTAGCATACCTAGTAGTTAACGTGTGTTTATTTACACCCTAAAATTCAAACTAAACTCAGCCTTGCAGGTATGTCTTGCTGCCATTTTGCTATTTTAAAATTCAAAGCTATATTCTACTGACAGTACAAATTAACACTTCAAATATAGTGTCGTAGTGCTAATAAATTCATATTCGAGCTCAAGAAACAGGCCAACTTGCTTTACTAATGGAAAACAAAATGGTTTTCTCACATCACACTGACATAATTTAAGAACTTGTTTAACTGTAAACTAAATTTTATAATTCATCCCACTCTCACCCAACCAGTCGAGGCAGATGGCCGTCCCTCCCTGAGCCTGGTTCTGTCGGAGGTTTTTTTTTTTCCCCTGCAGGGGTTTTCAGTTCCTTCCCACTGTTGCAGACTGCTGAAGCTTATAGGGAATCCAAATGTTTTGGATTGTTGGGTGTTTCTGCCTTTGTGAAGCGCTATGAGATGACTTGTTGTTGTAAATATGCGCTATACAAATAAAATTGAATTGAAAATTGAATTGAATAATTTGGACGACACACACCTACCACTCCACCCAGTGAGGCTCAGCAGGAAATGCTTGTGTGACACATTGTACTTTTCGATCTTTTATGCAAAGCCCATAATAACAACCCTGCCAGCTAAAATTGAACTATAATTAAATGCAAAAAAAACATGCACTCGTTTATGAAAGTCAGCGTGACTGAAATTGATGTCATTCAGTGATGCTTGTGGATTACTTCAGGGCCTTTATTCAGGTGACGCTGTCAGTCATCTGGAGATGTAACCAACAGCATGACAAATCCCTTGAGCTATGATTAGTTTTGTGAGAAAATATACGGAATAGAAAGTTGTTTTAAAGATTATTTTGGGGGTGACAATGGAGAGAGAGTGTAAATGTGGGGAAATAACCAACCACTGCCCTTCAAGATGGCCTCAGAATGAAAGATGAAGGTTTTAAAGGAAAATCAAATCAGAATTTGCTCTATGTCAAACCTATTCTCTATGTAATCAAAGAATTCATGATTTTAATAGCTGCCTGTCCTTCTCTCACACACACCCTAATGAGCATGTATGTCGGTTTGTTTGTTGTGCTGCGGTGGTGCTTACGTAAAGAGAATGATGCCGGTGTTCGCCATGGCGAAGGACAAGCCGAGGATGCCGCTGCCCATGATGGCGTTGCTCAAGTTAAAGACAGACATGCCGAAGGAGGCGTGACCGGGATGCTGTTCAGAGAGAAAGAGTGGAAGAGATCTTTATTAGGAATGCAAACAAACAAACACTGAAAAGAATTTAATCCTTAGTGGTAAAACCAGACTAACTCAAATGATGATATATTTAAAACTTATTGCAGAAAGAAAGCAAAACCTGTCAGCGTGTGGCTAACCATGCCAGGCTCTGACGCCTTCGGTAAACACTTTGTCAGTTCACATTCTCTACACTGGCTGTTTGCTTTGGTTCCAGTACTTATTAAATTTATCCTCCTTCAGCTTCAGTTCATAAGTGCTGACATTTCCATGACTGTATCCCTGCTGACCGACTGCAGTGATCCTATTTAAATAAATGTGGAGGCTGACACAGTTCTACTGACTGATTACAGCTGTCACTATAACCTAAAAACCTGCCGGCTCTACACAGTAAAGACAAAGACGTAGCTGCTTAATATGAATAATGCATGCTGTAGATTTGCGACCACACCTTCTCTCTTTTGATTCATCGCTGCTCTCACCATGACTCACAAGCTCCATCATGTGGCATTTGTCTTTTAAAACCTTTCACTGTACGTTTAAACTCCATTACATTTTGTGTTTTATGAGGACATTATGACAGATAGTTGACATTTTTTCTTAATCTATATGAAAAAGAAACATCATTAATAACTAATAGAAATGGAATACAAACAGAAATGTGACCAATTAAGTGTTTTAACTAAATGTTCAATGTTATTACTGATATCAAAAAGAGTTTCCTTAAACAGCGACAGTCTCAGCAGATTTTGCATATTATAAATATGAATCCACAGGGTTTGCATAACAGTGTGGAAGATGTTTTACGTTTTTCTTTAGTTCCTAACTGCCTGTTTTTAAATGAAACTGGTCGCAAAATTAAAAAAAATACTTTTTGTTCTCAATTAAAATCTGCAAACTGTGTGCATTGAGATAAACCATTCACTCAGACTGACAGACGCTGCTTATCAGTGATGTGACATTGAAGTCCTCTTACATATTCTTCATGGTATTCCTCATATTTCTTCTTCTTCATCATCCCGTTTGACAGGAACTTCTGGCTTTCTGCATCATCGTTATCGTCCAAAAATTGGCTGCAAGGACCCAGAAAAAAAATACGTTAAAACATGCAAAAGCAGCGGGCAGTTCATTTCATATTTATATGAATATTTAATCATATTTTATTCACTTTTTGCGTTCCATGTTGTGATTTGTTGAAGTGTTTGTTTTCAAGTGCAGCAGAAAAGCAGGACAACAGCTTTTACTCAGCTGACATTAGTCTTTGCTGGTCATTTGAGGTCATTTGGGCATTTCAGGGTCTTCAGTTTACATAGTGTGTAAAAAATTAACTCTCGTCACCTCGTAGCAGTCAGCAGCTCCTGTCATTCACCTAAAGTGACACCAGCTGTAATACCTAATCACTGACCAGCTGAAGTAAAGTCAGCACTCCCATTAGACAAGCAGCCAAATTAATTCATTCTGGAGAAGGTGACAAATGATCATTTACATCCCGACAAAGACTTTGTTCTCATGTAATTAACCAGGTTACTGGGAGACGGAGACTTGCTGAGAAATCTCCCAATGCAGGAGGATCTCTGAACATCAAAGTGCCTTTAGTTTTACACCATGTTTGAGAATGAAAGGGAAAAAAAAGCATCTGGGCTGCCGACCTGTTGATGGTGGCCTTCTCAGAGTCGATGGGCTCCGTGTAGCGGTCATCCAGGCTGTCGGTGCTGTCGTCGTCAGCCTCCGTGGAGACCTTCCTAAGCTCCATGCGATCCACAACTCCAGGCATTATGGTTCAAACAGCAGGTCCAGAAGCGGAGAAACTCAGTTTTTTAGGATTTTCACGGTTTAGACTTCACAAGGAGATGACAAAAGGCGTTTCTCGTATGACCCCAGACAAAAGAAAAGTCCTGAAAAAACAGAGACAAAAGAAAAGATTCAGTGACTAAAATAGTTTGAAGATGTCTGCAGATTTTTTCCCCCGCTCTTAAAATATTCAAGTTCACCACAGGAATTACACATGACAACTGATTACAGGCCTGCAAACACATCTGTTGTCATTGTCTTATCAGCCTCCTGCAGAGGCTGGTGGCCTTGATGGAGAACACTTTGGAGTGAATGGAGCCCTCTAACACTGAAAACTTTTTCCTGGAACCAAAGGACTTTCTGATATATCCCCCAGAAGAGGAAAACAGGGAGACGAGGCGACCTTGGTGCCTCCCATACTGTTGGGTTTGTTTTCCATTTCACACCACCTCCATCAGTGGTGGTAAGAACTATATTTCAAACCCACTTAGTAATGTCTAATAAAATACAACGTTATGTCACAAGCGTCTTTTATCTGTAGGAAGATATTACAAATGTCAGCGTATATGAAGATTACTGGCTGGAGTTAAGTAAACCAACAGTGGAACCAGGTCAAGGATGAAGCGGGTCTATGAGGCTGCCTGACCCCCTCCATCAACAGGCCGCCTTGTTCATGTTTGAGCTTCTTTACTCGGTCTCGCCCACTACCATTAAAGAAAAAATAAAAACGCCACACACTTCCATTTTCCATCAGTATTCATCATGAAGTTATGTAAGAAGCAGGTCAACGCCAGTGAGCGAAGCCTGCGTGATTATAAATGTAACGAACAGCAAAATGATTTACCGTCACTCACACAAAGAGCTCTTTGACTGGGTTAGAAGAAAAGATCCCAAGAGGTATTCACTGACAGAAAACCAAAGAGGAAACACAAACCGTGGCAACAAGTACACAATCACAACACAGTTGTTACTCACATTGCCGAACACATGAGAAAAGGACAGAGCAGCCATTATCTGTTGTGGTGTTACAGGAGTACTAATGTGGAGTTGATGGTTTAAAGCTGGACCAGAGCACGTGTTCTGATGCAAAGGAGTAGTTTGACATTTTGCTTTCTTTTTGAGCAACTCTCAGGTCTGTACATCAAATCTGAAGGAGGAGGCCGAGGAAAACAGCTCGCCTGGAGGTGCTGTTGGGTGTATTTTATTACCTAACCAAACAAGCTATTTTCCCTCTTAGCCGACATACGGTGATACGCATTTTGGCGCTTCACCCTCTGAACCCCAAAACCTGCCAACGGGTTTGAAAGGCAGGTTTTCTTTGAATAAAACTGGCCAAATGACACCGTGTATCAGAGCCACAACAGCTATATAGTGATATTTCATTCTACATTTAAAATTGTGAAAAAATAAACACTTTGCTCTGAAAAGATTCTTTAAAAACAAAAAAACAACTATAATTTCTGGGCTCCTCTGCACCATCAAGACGCCTTCAGTGACACGACTGTGACAAACATTTAACATAAATTCTGGCGCTTGTCGGTTGAACTGCAGGCTAACGGTTAGCGTTTGTAGAGCTAACGCAAAATGTTGCATATATTGTTCCCGCATTTTACATTTTCTCCGAATTCAACTTTATTTTCTTAACTGCTATATGGCATTAAAACTTTGCTATACCACACAGAATACATTTTTGGTTTACTAAGTTTATGTACTTGTTGCTCCACATGTTAGCATGTTAAAGTGCTAGAATCCAAACACTGAATTTGTAAATGTATTATACAGTAAGATGCTAATGTTTAGCAGCATTATTGGAAAGCTGTGTTATCAAACCATTGGATTATATGTTTGCTAGATGTTTGCCACAAACGGCCAGTGTTGGAAAACTTGTGACATCATTATTTGGTGACCCAACATCTTGGTTCTGCCACAACTGTGGCACCATTTTTGTAGTTTTGGGTTCTATGGTAATGTTAATAGCTAACAGCTGAGGCATGGTGGAATGTTAATATGGCAGGTAACAGGTTAGCAAACAGTTACTTTTTTGTTCTCAAACAGCAGACGTTGAGCAACGTTAGCATTCCTGTGAGTCACATGTGAGTCTTTTTGATGAATAACGAGGAAGTAGTCATTGTTTTTTTTAGTTCTGGTTTGGTAACCTATGTAAGAAGTCCATCTCTCTTGTAGCTAAATGCTAAACTATGTTCACCAGCTAATTGCTAACGGTGTGTGTGGGGACCACATGGCGCTAACAAGGTACCATACAGTCAGTTCCTGGTTGAATGTGATACTTTAAGGGCAGTAAAAAGAGAAGTAAAACATTAAAGCTGGAAAACAACAACCAAACCAAAACAGATGTTTACATGTTATGAATATGTTAAACATATCTGTTAGAGCTGCAAACCATTCTTTTCATTGTTAATTACCCTGTCAATCATTTTCTGGATTAATCTATTAGTTGTTTAGTCTGTAGACTATAAGAATATGGTGACAAATCTCGATCACTTTTCTTATTTTAATTTTTTTTTTCTTAGTTTTGTCAACAACCCACAACAATATTCACATTTTAAAAAATTGGAATCAGAAAATTTGGCCTTTCTTTTTCTTAGAAAACTTGTTTCAACTTATTAGCCAATTATCAAAAAAGTTAACAATTCATTTAAAAGTTGACAACAATTGATTCATCGGTGCAGGTTTATTATATCATACTGTTGACATGTAAACAGCGTCGTGCTGAAGTGAAACTATTTATGATACGGTGGGATAGTTTAATCTGTAACATTGCATACCATGTATTTAACACACAGAAATACTTGTAAAAATACAAGTAGGTGTTAGTTGAGAAACACTTTGCAAGGGGGGAAGTGGTTGAGCAGCAGGATCTTTACATCATAATGGTAAGAGGTGTTTATAGTCAACATGCCACCATGCATCAGCATAAAACTTTCCGTTTTGCAACAAGGACAGAAGCTGCAGACAATGCCAGAGGTGATCTCTCCACCTTGACTCCCAGCTGTGTGATGCAGGCTGACCCACCAGATGAGGCCCTCTTTCAAATGATGTTTTAGTCACCGATAGGCTGGCGTTCTTCCTGTGATCTTGTTCTTGCGGAAGCAAAACCTGATATCTATGAGCCAAAAGAGATTAAGTGGCTACATTACCGTTAACAACCGCATCACACACACCGGTGCACCTAATCTCCCGACGTCGCTCTCCGCTGTGAGGCGAGAGCGAAGCGGGGGAACAGTTTTCGCTTTCCACGGCCAAGAGGATTAACCTGTCTGACTGGGTTAACTTCACATGTTGTCACAACCGTAACCTTATAGAAGCACACGTTTGGAAGCGTGCCATGCAGCACATAGCAGTGCCTGACTCTGATGTAGTATCAGACTCACACAACATGACCAACTGCATTTTACACATACACAGAATGTATGGTAGTCGTTGTAAATGGAGGAAACACGTTTGCACTTGGCAAGGCAGCTGTACAGAAGACTACTAATGATATTCTGGGTAAAAACACTGAAGAAACCGTGACAAACAACACTGCAGAATCAGTGACAATATGCTAATACTCTATGCATCCCAAACACCTTAAAAGTGGCCTGAGGGTCCCACTGTGTCCTCAGGGTGTCTTCATTTTAATGCTAATTGTGTGATCCAAGACACACCACTACACTTTTAACTCTTTCTACCGCATGTTATAAATGATGGATAATCAGTGGTAAAATCATCACTCAAGTCTGTCTGTGCTGTCACACATGTTGCTGCAGAATCAGAAGTGCAGACAAAGTCATGGCAACTCTGAGAAATTAGAACACAGGAAATTGTAATCAAGCATATCTGTAATCACATTTCCGTTGTTGGCTAAAACATGACAGTGCAGCAAACTGAGCTTTGTTCTCAGTCAACAAGTCTGGGTCCAAATAATCACACAAGCTTGAAGCGCGGCAGGTGTCCTACGATTAACAGCATATCTGCTACAGTCTCTACGATACACGGCTGCTGTCAAATCATAATTAGCTGCATTGAGGCAAAAAAAAACAACAAAAAACAAAAAACAGAAATGACCTAAAAAATACACTGATTTGTTCTGCATTTTTGAAGTTGTTTCAAAACAGAAGAACACTTGCTTTAAGAAATATCCTTCAAACATCTCAGCTCTGAAACCTCCCTCATCCATCCTCCACCCAAACCAACTCTTGCATCAGCCACCTTGAAATCCCTTCCAGCAAAACAGTGCAGAAACTACTCTACATGACTTATGACTGCAGCAACTGTGTGCTTTAAACACACCTCGCTGCAGCCAGCACAGTGAAATCAATCCTCACAGAAGAAACTCCCCAAATACAAATACTTCCACTTTTTGCTAGTCTTGTAAATGTGTATCTGAATTGCCTGCACAGTTTATGACCCACATTTTTCAAGCAAAAACACAGAATGCTCACTTACTGCAAAGTTCCTTAAAGAGTTGCAGAGAAGGTTCCCCCTGTTTTTTTTCTCTTTTCGTCTTTTTGAGTAAATTTATTTTCTAAAGATGACAGACAGATGACAGACAAGTGAGTGGGTGAGGAGCTGCAGCTCTTTTGTAACTCAGGTAAGAAAGCAGGCTTTTAAAAGGGAGGAGGGAGGGCCTCTGTCAGCCAATGGGGACGGACACTGTTTCATCAGGCCCCTCCTTTATTGAGCACGCTCATAAGCAGGGTCTTAACCCCTGCACCCCCTCCCCAATATAAACACACACTCACGCACAGACACACACTTCTGCCTTAACAGAAATGCGCAACAAGGCCAAGACAGGGACAATAGAAATAGATATACATCTATATATATATATATGTGTGTAGAGAGAGGGAGATACATCGACCACTTCCACATTGTACCATAGTGTGTTCACCACCATCACAATGAAGACATCAGCGTGCACCAACGCTGTTAAATACCCTCAGTGGCTTCAAGACGTGATCACATGACGTGCCACATGACCCGTTTTACTGTGAGGTAAACTTCTTCAGGCCAGACACAAATGAACTGATGAGGCTGAGGTCACACACAGACACACACACACTCACAATTGCTCGCACATGCAGCCGCACACACGCTGGCATCCAGATGCCCAGACACGCTGTAGGCGGCTGCCGATGGTTTCAGGGGTGGGCTGTGCCCGGAGCCGACCAATCAGAGGACGGCGTTGTGTGGATGTCACTGTGCCCGGGGTCATGTTCATGTCAAGGATGAGGTTTTTTATCTCTGTTCACTTTGTGATGGCGTCCAAATGGACGAGCACACTCACGCAGACATGCAACATGTGAGGAGCAAACTGCAGCATCATTTTATTCCTCAAATAAGGTAGCAGCTAGGAAACTGTGAACTCTGTGAACCGGAAAAGTTTTCAGAACTTCTCTCAGCTCACAGAGGACCAGTCCTTCATCTGAGGCTAAAACATGACCGGATGTTAAATTAAAGGATTTAAATGTTGAAAATCTATAAAGACACCTACTGCAGCAAATTCCATCTGAACGGACACTTTTTCACAGGGCAGGAACGTGATATGAAAAAAGAGTTACTCAATGTTCAACTAAGTTCAGAGAATTGATTTGACCTTTTGCTTTGCCAACGTAGATACACCAAAACCAAGTAAAGCAGCAGCAGCAGCAGCAAGGTATTGATCTTCTTGCTCATGAAGCCAACTTGTCATTTGGAAGAGTATCATTCTGTTTTTTCTCCATCCTCACTTTAATTTTTCAGAATCAGGGCTGTAGTTAACAGTTATCTGAATTGCTCATTATTTAATTGAGTAGTTGTTTGGGCTATAAATGTCAGAAAATGGTGTGAAATGTGTATCATGTTTTCCCAAAGCCAAACATTACGTCCTCATATGGCTTGTTTCGTCCACAACCCAAAGATATTCAGCTTACTGTCAAAGAGGAGAAAGGTAACCAGAAAGTAGTCACATTTATCAAAGTAGTTGTTAATTATTTTAGTCGTTAACAACTAATCGATTAATAGTTGCATCACTCAGATGACTTTGGTACATTTCAATTGTAATGGGATTTTAATGCGTCAAGATTACTTTTGCTGAACAGCCCGTCCTGTGGCCACAAGAGACAATTATGGGCTGAGAAACAGTAGCACAAAAGGAGAGCAATTAAAGTCAGTTAAAAGAACTGGTATTCTGCTAATCTGCTACCAAGTCCATTTACACAAATGCCACTAGAGCATGTTCCAACCAGAGTAAAGAGGTTGTTTTGTTGGAGGAAAAACTTTTCTTTGAGTTTAGTTGTGTCACTACTGGTAATGTTGGACAAAAGAAAAACCACAAGAAAGCTGGTCTAGTCACTACAGAAAAACCAAACAGCCGTGTGAACTGAAGTGAAAGCTGAATTCTGACAAGCAGTGAACCTCTAACCAGCCCGTGTGGCTGCAGGGACATTCCTTAAATGGCGTAGCCGTCCTTCAAGTGTGTGTGTGTGAGGGCACCCAGCCAATCACCTGTGACTAGAAAGCTGTCTTGAGGTCAACTATGTCTCACACACAAAAAACAAAAAGAGACACCAAGTTTTCTGGTTGAGGAAAAGTCACACTTGTCAGTAGTTTTATCAATCATGTGCAACCAAGAAAAAAAGACTTGAAGATACGTAATCATTTGTATGAATTCCAATCTAAGGGTCTAATGTGTAGAGCAAAAACCCAAAGAGTCGCTCAACCAATTCTACGTATAGAAAGATGTCTGCAGTTTCACAAGAAGCACAATCTGTAGAATCTGTTCAGGTCTTCTGTGGCTCTGTAGGAAGCTTACCAATGAATGACAAACTAGCCCTGATGGAGTCATGCTGGACAGTTTGAACACTTATTATTCAAGAAAGATGCTGCTAAGTTTCATTCTGAGAATTCTGGATATTTGCAGCCTTACTCCTGTTTGAAAGTGAAACTCAAGATAGCTCAACCTTCACACATACCCCAGTGTGCATTACATTACATCCGGGGCAGCATCTTTCATCAGACAATACTAAACCAGAGGGTGGCTCCACAGTCATTAAAAACGATCACATCAATTTGCTGTAGATACACAGTAGCACAGGCAAGATGAGAGATTGTTTCTTCAGGATCCAGTAACTTAAAAGCAATTTGAATAAAGACGTGAAAGAATGTTGTGTAACTTGCCAGTGAAATTATATCTGAAACAAGTAATTAACTGGAAACTTTAATGATGTACTGATGGCTCCGTGTAGAGCCGGGCACAAGCTTCCCATTTCTGTTTTCTTCTGACCGTTTCCAGTAAATGTTGATCATGCAGTCTCCAGGGTGCCCACCTCTCTCTGCCATGTTCATGACCCTTATTTTGGGAAAACTTTGCTCCTTTTACTGGCAGCATACTGCTGGAACTTCCTATAAAAGTCTCCACTTTTTGGTTTCATTTTGACACGGGGTTTGTTAAAGAGCTCGGTTAAATAAGAGGTGAGGTAACACTATTTGGTTATTTCACTATATTTCCACGTGCACTGGTTAAACTTGAAAAAAAAAAAATCCTGGTGCTGCTGCTGAACACTCTCGAAGCTTCTCTTTGGTTAATTAACAATGAGCTGGGTTTTCTGGTGAGGATATGTGAACGTGGTCATCGCTGTAGCAGGAGAATAACAGTGTGTTGACATCAGCCGGTAAACAAGAGGTTGTACGGGGACGTTTCTTTCATGCATCAAGGGGTTATTAACCTCCACTTTGGAGCAAAACATCTCTAATGTGACACCATGTACCTTTACTTTGCATCCTGACGGTCCAAACAACTGTCAGTGATCATTATGAGCTGGAATTTGAAGGCCTCTAAATTAAGCCTCTACCTCTCAACCCCATGTGACTGGGAGCAAATACCAAACACATTCTGCTGATAAATTACTGAGCAGATGACATCCAGTACCTGGAAAAACATAACAGAAGAGAGAAAATCTAAAAAGACTAAAAATGTATTTGTTATAATATTACAAATGACTTTTTTTTAGATAACTTAAAGGAGCCTCTGTAGGAATTTCACAGGTCCACAGATATTTCTGTCCCGTGTGTAAAATCTATCAGCTCTGTGAACTTGTTTGCAAGTAGGACGCGGCTATATGATGTAACATACATCATATGACATATTCATTTGTGGAAACAGGCTTAACACAAGAGAGGCCTCAGGATATTTACATCAAGACCTTTTGAGTGTATTTTTAAAAACACGTGATTTTTGTGTTGCAGCTTTATTTAAAACACAAAAAGGTTATTAAAATACATCCACTTTGCAGCATTGTTCATTAATCAGTGTTCTGAAAGTTGGTGGAAAGTTATCTGGGCAAACTTGCTTCATGCTGACTCAGTCACACAAATGAACCCACGTCACGGGAGCTGCAAACTGCAACCACAGGAGGCCACAAAGCCTCTGTAATGAGGCTGTTTGGACGTATAACCGTGGCTGTTAAGAGAAACTGAAGCGGCTGCTTTATACTTATGAAAGTAGTCTGCTGACCACTGAACCTGAAATTATGACAACGAGCAAGAACTAACAGTCGTGAATAACCACAAATTATTTGCAGTATTGGTTTGAACTACATGAGCAGCAATAATGTAAATATCAGGTTTCATTTGAGGGATAGAATCTGTCCTGTGAGAGAGCTGGACCTCAGACAACCCTCCACTTTCTAAAAAAAATGTGTTTTTCTTTAAAAATGAAGCTACAACCAGGACACATTTAGCTTAGCTTAGCATAACAACTGAAAGCAGAGGGAATCAGTTAGCCACGCACCATCCTAACAAGATTGCAGAACATCTTGATTTCAGTCACTGACAGACTATCGTTTGTTTATTACCTACATAAACAGAAATGTTCTGCCAACAAAAGCCACATGAAGAGTCTAAATCAAGCTTCAGTGAGGTTGTTTCACTCCCAGTCACAGGGGAGGTGCCTTCTGGAGGTTCTGGAGCTTTCAGGGTGGAGCTTGTTGTTGATCCGTCCAAAACTCTAGAAATTTTCACATTTCAAAAACCTGCAACTGCACAACTGAAGAATTCCTACAATAGATGGAATAATGACAAAGTCCAGACCTTGTTCAGCATTTATGCAGAGAAAAGACAGCAGAAACACAGGATTCCACCGTGACAAGGTCTATCTGCAGTCACACTGAGCAGGAGCCTGACTAAATTCCAAAATCTGCCGTGCAAATGGTGAGAACAAAAAGTTGAAGGAACCTTTCCTTACCTTTGAAAGTTCCCTGGACTAAAGCTCCTTTTCAATAGAGCCAAACTATTCTTTAACGACTTTATCTCTGGTACAGAGTGGTAAAAGCAACTCAGCCATCATCAAATTATCATGATACCCAACCCAACTAACAGTTACTAGTGAAGCATGACGGATTTAAGACTGCGGTTTACATTCGGTGTTACATTAACTTGTGGCTATAGAAACACAGCCACATCAGAGAGCCACACATGTTCCTCCAGATGATCCAGTTTCTCTGTACTTTCACTGGGGAGGAATTTAGTATATGCGGCACGTTGAGACAACTCCC